GGGGGTATTTTTATAATTGTTTGCTTGTTTGTTGTTTTTGTTGTTGTTTTTTTCTGATTTTTTTAGCCCAAATTGAAACGCCTCCATTAAGGTGTTCACACAGGATCACTAAAATAAATGATGTACTTTAACACGGAAACAGCTTGCTCAATTTGAGACAGCAACACCACCCTGTCCCCAAAAATCAATGTAAGCTTGTAGGCCGTCTACATGTCTCCACTTGAGCCTTGAAAAATACTCACCCGTCAGTTGGACCGTGTTTCATAGGCGTTCGTTAAAATGTTTTCTTGATGAAAATAGATCAATGTTTTAATGTTTTAGGAGCATGCTCCAAATCCCCCGTCATTTGTTTACCCGCTGACAAAGAAAACGTGTCGGAACCTTAGTCTGGAGTGACCTTCATTAGTGGGCTTTTAGATTCTGTCGGTCATCCAACTCTTAGACCCACATGAAAAGAGCTGAGAAGATTAAAGAGAGCAATTCGATTTCATCTAGTTTTAAACGCAGTCAGACGAAAGTGAACTAGTACAATCGATATCATGAGGGAGAAACGTCAAAAGTGTGCCCGCACAAAGACACGCTTCATTTTATTTTTTCTTATTTGATTCTTGTTTTGTTTGTTTTGTTTTGCTTCGCTTTCTTTTCTTTTTTTTTTCTTTCAGGTAGAGCTTGAACAGAAGAACAAATGAAAACGAAGGCATTACCTTCAATAGAAACCCAAGTTACAGCAAAACTTTCAGAGAGAAGAATAGTAATAACGCTGCTTGTTTTAGATTTTCGTAGTTCATTTTTAGAATGTCTGCTTGACTTGAAGTGGGATAGGGATGGAGGAAAGTTAGGAAGGGAAATATTATATATAAAGAATGTTTGAACACACTTAGGACAAATCGACAGTCCAATACATTGTCATCTATGACTACGTTTTGTGTACGAGATTCGATCAAGAACGTGCCACAAGCCTCATAAGTACCCAATGTAAAGAAAAAGAAATTGATGTGTGCATAAACTCCTAAGAACTGCGACCCGCTGGTGGCGGTTGAAAACATGGATGACATTATTAAGTGAAGTTAACATTACTGTATCCCTGTGACGTCGGGGGTCTGGTGGTTAGGCAACCGGGCTCGTAATTGTGATGTTGCGGGTTCAGGGATTCGAGCCTCAGGCCCAACGTTGCGTCATTGGGAAAATCACTTTACACGAACGTTCCTCCCTTCACCCAGGTGTGATTGGTTAGCCGGCCATAGACAGCGATGCATCGTGTCAGTCGATATTAGTCTTTTAACGCCAAAAAAAAAATTGGGAGCATGCACTGTATGCTTTCAAGGAAGTTGAGATTGTTTCAGAATACTACCGGGTCTTCCGAGGTAACAATATAGACAGTAAAATGCACAGAGCTTGCTGTTGAGCGGGAATTTGAGATTTATAAATGCTATTAATATATATA